TTTATGTTTTTTATGTTTTAATGTTTGACCTATCCAGAGGTCCAAACACCATTATTTAATGTGGACTTGAGCCTTTAATACTCTGAACTGGTGGTGATCCCTCATATAAGCACAGACCCCTTAGCTCTCTCCCTGTTGAATAGTTTGCTGGTTTCAGCCTTGCCTTACATTGCCCTCTTTGCCTACCACTCCCATACCAAAACATAAACAATCAATTAGATGACCCCACCCACCTCCAGAGAGGTCCATCTCCTGTCATTGCTGGGTTTCCATATCTGTTCAATAAATTGTAGATTTCAGCCAAATTTCATCTTTGCCTAGTACAGTGCCTGGACAGTGTAAATACACAATACATATTAATTAAGTGGATATATGGAAGACTGCTGTGACCTGGATTTCACACACATCCTAGGAACATAAAGGAGACAGATAGACAATAAGATGAGGGATTGGCATGTCGCACTCAAGCTTGGGCCAGTCAGCCATTCTTTAATATCATCTTCAAGGTTATGAGAAGACCTGACCTGGGAAGGGACAGCTGAATCCAGAAAGGCAGCTATTTACGCATGGGGTTCACCATCTTTCCCATGAAGAGAGGAATGTTGGTATTTTCATCCTTGATGACGATTAAGAAGGGCCGGTTGAATTTGGTGGTTAGAGGCCTAGACCAGGTGCTGTCTTCCAGAAGGGTGGCCCTAGAATGCCCCATTCCATTCTCATCGATTCTCAGCACAGCCTTATGTGAGACCTAGAGGGGAGAGATTGCAGAGGTGTGTTTGAGGCAGAGACATGTTGCACCCTTCCACACTCAGACCTGGGAGCCAGGCCTGCTGTGAGAGCTGTCATGGAGGCTCAAGGAAAGCTTCTTTCCATGGTCCTATTGAGGACCTGGGTTTTTATAGCATTTCTTTGATATGAAAACCAAAACAATGAAAAATAAGCAGAATTAAGGGCAAGGGATCTATCATTTGAGAACTTTTATATGTAGCACCACAAGATTCACAACTGAATCATCATGGTGTAGTGGCAAGAACATGACTTTCCATCACAGGGATCTGCATTCAAATCTCATTTTCCCCACTAACTAACTGTCACCTCAAGGACATGATGACTCCTCTTACAATCTCATTTTCCTAACTAGGAATGTCAGAGCTGTGTGACACGATCACCCGGGGCCAGTATGGCCCTTCATGGGAAGAACCTTAGTGTGTGTGCTCCATAACTGTGCATGCGTTTGTATTGAGTGTGCACGTGTAAGAGGTTGTATGTGTGTTTGAGTGTCTGGGTGTAACTCTTATACAGCTCAATATCAAGAAGATGTGCATGTGTATGAATAGGGACCAAAAAAATCTTTATCTGGCAACTGTGGGGCTCCATCAACAGCCACACCTCCTTATTCAACCCATTCCAACCTCCTCTTCTTGACACTTCTCTCCAGGGGGGCAGGTCCCTTCTCTGTCCCTCAACGCTATTCTCAGGACTCCCTCGTGTGCTGGCCTGCCCTGGCCTGTGCACATACCCCCTCCCTGCAGGGGGCGCACAGGCCCCACCCCCTTCCCAAGGCCCTCACCTGACTCCACCAGCTGCCCCTCACTTCCCTTCCCGACCGACCTTCTCAGCCTCCCTGGGAGGCAGCTCACAGCCTCGGGACCTGGGACCTCTTCCTGCACCCTGTCTTCCTTGCCTCATCCCTTGAGTCCGGCATCAGATTTTCAGCCCCTCAGGGACCAGGACTTTGATGGGGACTTTCATGGCACCCCGTCCGCAGCCAGGCACTGAGCTGCAGGTGTTTCTTTGGTCACCCGTAACCTTCCCGAATGAATGGGGTCTTTCTCTGAGATCGCTCATTAACTCGGACTCGGTGATTCATCAGGAACTCCCAGTGTCACGGATGCAGGGGCCCAAAGTCCTTTGAAATCCCTGAGCCTAAGCCTGTCTCTGTAAAATGGGTCCCTCCAGGCCCCAAGAAGGGAAGGCCTTGGCCAAAAATGAGAGAGGGCCAGTGACGTGAGCTCAGAGGAGACCCCTAATGTGCCAGAAGCACACAGCAGACCCCGTGCCCGCCTTACTGGGCCCAGTGGCGTTCCTCAGAGGACCGTGCATGAGGGTGTGTTTGCGTCCCTGTGCTCCTTCCCCAGACTCACCTCTGAGCTGAAGCCCACGCTCCACAGGCTGCCCTGCAGACCCAGGGACAGACTCACCTTGGACAGCTTCAGGGGCACCTCCTCAGCGATCCCTGAGAGGTCAGCCTCGTTGCTGAAGACCTTGGTGATGCCCAGTTTGCTCAGAAGGGTTTTCAGATCATAGGTGTTGGAAATGGACAGTTTGGGCAAATGCAAACTGGTGGACCTGTCATATTGGTTAGAAACAATGGAGTGTCACAGCGCTAAGAGTGTTTCCTTTTCTGGTTGTTTCTCCCACCCAGCACCCTGTCTCCTTGTCCACACAAGGACACGAGGTCCCCGCTGGTCTATTCTATCTTTAGCTCTACCACGTCCTGGGTCAGACAATGCTGGAATCACAGAGATCAATCGCCTTGTTGTGTAAAGTCTCCAAATGCCATCTCCTCTGAGGAGCCCTCCAGGATGCCTTCTGGCAAGCATTTTGTACCCTGCCCTGTATAGGATTTGTTTACACCCAGACTGGGGCTTCTCCAGGCCAGAATCCCTGGGAAATAGGAAAGGTGAAGATGCTGAGAGACATCTGCTCAGGGAAGGATGAGTGACTGCACAGACTGGGACACTCAGCTGCCGTTTTCCATGGGACAAAGTGTGGCTCCAGGAAGGGCCCAGCGTGAGCTTGCTGCCTGGCACTCAGCTGCGTCTGACCCATTCTAGATTCAGCATTCGCCTCCCAGCCTCTGGTGCCAGGAACGTGGGAGTGAGGTGGGGTGAGGAAGAGGGTTTACAATTTCTCTTTTAATTTTTATTTTATGGTCTTTATATTCATTTATATATGTTTGTTATGTATTCCTTTCTATATATATTTATTTTAAATTTTAATCTGATTATATATGTTTATATTGCATATATTTATACATTTGTATTTTGATAATATACATGATCAAATATTTCCTGCAGGCTCGGGCATATTTATGAATGCAGAGATGTGCACTAATTTGGGGTGCATGCTCAAGTACTACATCATTGCGGGGACCCCAATCAAACCCTACATGTCTGGGGGCCAAGGAGCAGGGACCGTGCTCGAGCATGTGCTGGGAGGTCCCACCCTGGGCTCGCTCTCCAGGTCTCCCCCAAGCGGCCTCTGCCCCCGGGCTGGCCATGGACTTTCCATCCTGAAGGCCACACGCAGCTGCTCCTTTGCCAGGAAGCTCGTCTCTCCCTTCTTGGCTCTCCCCCAGCAAGTGCTGGCATTGCTCACCCTGCCCTGGGCTCTGGCCACCGGGAAGGGGCAGTGTCCGTGCTGGGGAAGGACGTCCCCAAGGGCAGGATTGCGTCTCCTCACCTGTGGGCACTGCCCCTCTCACAGAGCCTGGCTGGTGGTGTCTGACCCGACCCTGGCCTCTGTCTGGATCCACCTGGTCATGCATGGTTGTGTGGCCCGTGGGATGTGGGCCTACCTCCCACCCCCTGGCAGGCCTGATGTGGCAGCTACTGGGTCTGCCCTGGGCTAGGACGTACCATATGTCAATGTCTCTGAGGATATTGGAGAGATACTCCTCAGAGAGACTCTCCTCCAGCTGCGGCATCTTCCCGGGGTCAGGCATGAGCAGAAATGCTCTGGCTCTGCCCTCAAAGTGTCTCAGCAGCACCCAGCAGGACAGCCCCCTGTCCCGGTGCAGGCCGAACACGCCCAGACAGGTGGCCATGGGCACTCTGATGGCGGTCCTCTCTTCCACATGGAAGTCTCCTTCCCCCAAGTGCTTAGCCTCAAATTTATCCTTCCAGCTGTCTGGAGAGAAGGGGAGACACACATCAGGAGGGTGGGGCAAGGTTTCGATGAGTGTGGTAGAAGAGCAGCCCTGAGTGCCTGGGGAGGGGTGTCTCTCTAGGCCTCAGCTGCACCATCTGTGAATTGGGGCTAAAATGAAACCATCAAGCTGCTGCAGGGCTTTGTGAGGATAAAGTGAGGCTGGAGAAGAATCCAGAATTTCTATATCACAGAGGCTAAATGGTGGCAATCTGGATGTCCAGAATGAGCATTTTTCCTTGAATTTTATGTTTGTTTATGGATGGCCCGAGGATGATTAATGATATTACTGGTGTAGTTGGGGGCTCCTCCAGTCACATTTGGCATCTCCTCGTCTGAGTCTCCCCACCCCTTGTTAGTCGGAGGTTCCCAGCAGTCAAGGAAATCACTCCTGTTCCAACCTCATGGCCTCTCCCTGGACCAACTTGTGAAATGCAGATGCCCGGGTGGCTCCCCTGCTATACCAAGAGATCATTGCCATCCTCGCAAATCGGAGTGGGAGGGTGCCTCACAGAGCCCTGAACCCCACTTTCCCCACTGGATGGAGATGGAAACTGAGGCTGTAGAGGGCACGAGACCCACCTGAAGCCCCACAGCAGGGCAGGCACCTAAGACGCTGGCTCAGCCTCGGCCTTCTGCGCTGCCCTGCTGCCTCCAGAGCTAGGAGCCCATGGGGGGAAGGAAGCAGCCCCTGGCCTGGACTCCCCTCCCAGCCCGGGCTATCTCTACGGCCTGTGTAGACCCCTCAGCATGCCTCCCGGGCCTACAGGTTCCTGACATTCTCATACTCAGAGGGGGGAAAGGCACGTTTAGTTAAGCACCTACTATGTGAGTGTATAGTCCCCTGTTCTTTGTTGCCTGTTTAATCCTTACAGAAACCTGACAGCAAGGCCATGATGACATCCACGTTACAGATAGGAGACTAAAACCTCAAAGTGGGAGAATGCCTTGCCCACAGTCAAATGGCTCAGGAACAGCAGAGGGAGGATTGAGGCCTGGTCTTTGTGACTGCAAAATTGTCACTATTTCTACTGTGCTAGAGGTGTTGGAAGTGTGTCCATGAAACCCTGTTCCCTTCATAGACTCTGCTAAAATTTGTTTTTCTGGCCGTCTATTTTGGGAGACATTGTGTATTTTACCTTTCCGTCTGGTAGGAATTTATAGCATGCATGAGGACATTAAAGGCTCTGAAAAGGCCTGCAGAGATGATGATATGACTGTTTAACTCATCATTCTCTAACCTTATTTGATCATGGAAAGTGTTTGAATGGTGTTGTGGGGAAACTGAATAACATATCCTGGGAGGCACTGCCGTAACCATGCTGCACCGCCACGGAAAATTTAAGAACTGAGTGAGAGCATTTTTGGTTGTTCTTGTGGGGACCAGCTTAGGCTGGTTGTGCAACCTTACCTTTAAAGAAAATGTAATTCACCAGAATAAGAACTGTGTCTTTGTCAAGCTCTTTGACCAAATCCACAATTTTCCCTTGGGTTCCCTTCTCTACATAATCATTGATCTGTTTCTTGGCCTCTTCTGTGTCCTCAAAGTTGACGGGGAAGGCTTCTGTGTGATACTTGTTCTTGACAGTCTTCAAAAAGTTATGTACGCGCTTTAGATTCTTATCAATGAATAGAGCACTCTTGGTGGCCAGCTGGAACTGGCTGTCTGACCGGTTGAGGGTGTTGAGAAGATGGTGGAAGGCTTTGTGGACATCATCAGCCTTAGGTACTTTCTTGAAGTTGACGTCTAGGCCTTGCAGGATCTGGGTATGAGTGTCACCCTTGGTCCCCAGGGAGGGCATTGCAAAGGCTATAGCAATGCTCACTGGGGACAAGACGATGTTGCTTGTGTTAGACTGTCCGGCCAGTGACTGGTAGAGCTTGAAGGAGAAGTTGGCCATTTTGGGGGCTGTGCTGGGATTAGGGGGGTTCTTACGAATTTCGTGACTATGCTCAGATACATGCATGGAGCCAGGGACTCGGTAGCACAGGTCTGCCAGCAGGAGGAGGCCCCATGCAATGGAAAATGGCATGTCCTGCAAGAGAGGGAAGGGGCATCACGCCCAAGTCAGGCCACACGATGAGTCCTCCCGGCCGCTCAGTGACACCACGGAAAGCAACCAGAGGTCACTAATTCTGCACCGTGTGCCAGCCTGTGCCAAGCGCTTTCCTGCATCCTCGCCGCTGCAAGACTCAGAACAACAGCAAAGGCTTTACAGTGCTTACCACGTGCCAGGCCCCAATCTAAGCACTTTCCTATCTCATCTCATGGCCCTCCTGTAATTAGTCTATGAGGTCAGTCATGTGACAATTCTCAATTCCCATTGAGCCCTGTTATTTAATGGACAGAGAAGCTGCTGCCTGGGTGGGGGACAACCTTGCCCCGTGGCACACAGCCAGACACAGTGGAGCGGTGAGGACACCCACCTGCTGGTTCCAGCCCAGACTCTACCTGATGCCTTTTCTTGCAAGTCCTGCAGCCCTCTCTTGATGGGCCTCTTGAGCCTGTAGTTGATTGCTATCTGATCCTGCAACCTCCCAGGCCTCAGGCCTAGGGAATACTGCTGGGGAGAGAAAGGAGAGCCCGCGCCTCAAGGCACATACAGATACTAACTTTTGTCTCGAAGAACATCTTATTCTCTTCATTTTAAAGGATGTGAAAAGTAAGGCTTAGAGAGGTTCAGGAACTTGCTCAAGACCACAGAACCAGTCAAGCAGAGCTGGGACCAGACAGGTCTCCACGCTTCTGGGCTGGTACTCTGTGTACCGGATACGTGCCTCTCTGAAGCAGGGCTTGGCTCCTTCTGAGGGCTGGGCTCCCAGGAAGTGAGGAGTCTTGGGCTTAGAACCACTGACATTGTGGGCTGGAAAATTCTATGCCTTGAGGAGCTGGCCTGAGCACTGTAGAGTGTTTACCAGATGCCAGTAGAATGCTCCCAACCCCCTGGCGGGACAGTCAAAAATTCTCCTGACATTGCCCAATGTCCCCTGGGGTCCAAGTGCCCCTGCGGGTGTCCCCTGTGGGGGGTGGAGGGGTTCAGGGTACATGGCCAACCTGGGAGGCCTCCTTTTCTCTTATTTGCCTCTTTCAGACTTTCCTTATTTCAGAGTGGGTTTGCATCGACTGAGACCCAAATAAATAGCTGTTTGGAGCCAATGTGTTCATTGGACCCAGCCAGTCTGGGGTTTTCATTATTCCTGGGTAGGGGCCCTGTGGGGATCCCAGGATTCTGCTGTGGGGTGTTGTGCCAGGTCTTCAGGAGACCACAGCCAATCTCCTCGCCTGCCGCCTGGGAAGCTCAGATGCCCCTGTGGTCCTTGTACCACCAGGAGCTTAATGACAACTCCCTCCAAGTGTTAGGCCTGTCCCCGCTGAACACGGACATGCAGCCGCCACCTCCAGAAGCTTTTCCTGAACTGGGCCCATGATGAGGCTCAGGGCTCAGCCCCAAAATTGCCTGCGGTCCCTGCAGTTGGTTTACCTGCCCACCTGGGCACCACCTGTGTCCCAGCCCTAGGCTCAGATGACTGGGTCCTTGGAGATGCTGGTCCTCCAGTGACACAAGAGTGATGTGGTGGAAAAGCATTTTTTTAGCCTCAGATGCACCTGGATTCTAATTGGCCTCTGTCACCTACCAGCTGTGGACCCAGGACAGAACCAGTAATCTTGCTGAACCTCCAGTTTCGAATGAGATTGTTGTGAGAAGTGAGTGAAATCTCTCTTGTCATCAAAGCTCACAGCTAGGACAGACCTGAGAGATCAGCTCTTTGCAGGGAGGGGTGGGGGGTTTGCAAGCTAAAGCTGTTCTGATCAGTGAGGGGCCAACAGAAGTGAGACAGGGCCATGAACCCAGATAAGAAAGGGGAGAAGGTGACAGAAAGGAGAGCAGGGTTATCTGAGGAGTTAATGAATACATCTCTACTCCTCAGGGGGAAATTCCAACGAAAAGATCAAGGCTGGGGGTCCACTGTGCAGGAGGGTGGGGGCTAGGGAACAGAACTGGCACCTCATGGGCTGTCCTCCAGAAATCTGGGGAACAGGCTGTCATGGGAGAAAGCTAGAGGGCCTCAGCCTTCTGCAGCAAGACAGTTAAATGGTGGGGCATAAAATCTGCAGGGAAAGGGCAAGGGCACTGGCTCTGGCTGCATTTTAAAAGGGACCAGGTGGGAAGGAAGGTTCTTGAGGCAGAGAAGCACCTTAGAGAACAGGACGGCTCTCCAAGAGGATTCAACCCTGCCTTCTGCAGGTGCGACTGAGAGACTCAGGTGAAGGCCTTTCCTACCTGGGGAGGGTGGATGAAAGAGAACAGTCACCCCACAGCAGCTCTGCCCCTGCTGGGATCATTGCAGCGGGCCCCCTACGTGCCGGCGGCTTTTGCATGATGGGATTCCATGCGCCAACCGGCTGTGCTGAGCACAGTGGTAAAAGCTCTGCTGCCTGCCTTCTCATCCCTGCCAAGCCTGTGTGTGCCTCTGTTTCTTCTTCTGTCAAGTGGACAGAAATAATCCTGGCATGGTGGCCCAGCATCACCCACTGGTGTCAGCTCAGGAGGGGCCAATGGAGAATTACTTACGCAGCAGGTGGAAAGCTCCTGCCCGGCTCAGCAGAACTCACTTATTCTCCAGAGAGGCTCGCTGGCTGGATGTGCCACACAGGTGTCCCTCCCTCCCTCACAGGGCTCCCTCTACTTATAAGGCAGTCTCAGGGGGGTAGGACGCTCAGTCCTGTGGGCCAGACAACCCCCCTTGTGCAGGAAATAAGCCCAGATTGCCTGTGGAGCTCAGCCAGCTAGTGCTGGTGCCGTCAGCGGCCTTACTGTTCCTCCCTGAAGCGGCCTAGTCCAGGGGAGCCGGCAGGTACGAGGCCACCTGAAGGGTGGGGTTATGGGAGCCCTGTGGCCATGCAAGACCAAGCGTTCGTCTCACCTTGCTACCCTCCTCACAGAGCCGTTGAAAGGAGTAACTGCATTCAAACAAGTCCTGCACCCGGAACTGTGCCTGATACATGGTTGTTCTTCAATAAATGTCAGTTGCCTGAAGTCCTGGACTTGTGACTGCCATGTTCCTGGCTCTTGGAAGCCCCCCATTGGGAGCTGGAGTCTGTGTCCTTTGGGCAAGAGAGCCCATTTCTCGAGGCACAGAAGGCCAAGTGCCAAGGCTCAGAGGAATCATGGGAGAGAAGGACACTGGGCTGTCCCGATGGGATTAAAATCTTGCAGTGAATCAAGACCCCAAAGGACCTTAATGCTATCTTACCAGTAAAGAAAACTGAGGTTCACAGAGTGGGGGATCCCAAGGTACATTAGTGGTTGAGCTGTGGAAAAATCCAGGCTCTGATTCCCATCTCAAGGTCCTTGGCAACAAAATGTACAAATATTTATAATTCATTCCTTTGTTAATATTCTGCCAGTAAATCAAGAGACAGGGAAGCCAGCCCCCCAAAGTGGTACCTTTAGAATAGGCAGTCTTGATTAATGTTTTATATTTGGTAAGAGCTAGCAAGAAAAAATGGCACTGGGCAGTCATCCACAGAAGAAACTTTGAATAAATTAGGTCTCATTATCCCCATTTTGCAGTAATGGAAATTGAGGCACAAAAATCGAATGGCCTACTCAGGGTTCCACACTAATTAGAAGGCTCATTTGGAATTCCTGAATTCTTTCTCCTTTGTTATAATGCCTTCAGCATTTTCCTGCTAACAATTGCATGCTGAAAGTCACCTCAGAACTAAAGGAAATCACGTTGATAAAACTCAGGACATATTTCAAGGTGGCTGGTAATTGCAAACTAAAGAAAAGAAATTGCTTTTTCTTTAAAACTGAATATGCATTTCTAACTTACTCTGTTCACTGTGTTCTCTGTGACAGTCTTACCCAAGCATTAAAAAAAATTTTGATAGCTCTGATTTTTCATTACACGGTGTTCACTTTGTTCCCAGTTAACTAAGTGATTCCAAATGGTACAAATCGGGCCAAGTGAGCACCTGGTCTTGGAAAGGCGGATTTGAGTTCTGAGCTCAGGCTCCCTGTTGCAATCATCTGTCAGCCCCACCTGGGTTCCAGCCCCATCGCGTGGGACTGTCCTGCTGTTACCCTCCCTTGTGTGACTCAGTCTGGCATCCCCCAAATGTCCCGGCACATGCTCAGCATCGCACCTGAGCAGACGTGCCCGCAGAGTATGGTTAGCACCCCTTTGTGGCACTTTTTAGTTTGGTTCCCTACTGAGGTTTTGGTGCCCTGCTGAGGGCCCTTCAGCCTTCCCTTGTCTTTTTCAGATCTGTCATCATGCCAGGCTTGCTTCTTAGTTGAAGACTTCTTTGAGTGCATTTTCTCGAACTCTAGTTGCACCTGTCAGGCTGGGCTGGGTTACACTGCAGTAAGAAGAGCTCGGCCCTCAGTGGGTAGCATCCTGGGCAGCTGCTGTGTACTCGCTGGGGAGGGAGCTGCCCTGCTGAGTGCCTGTCCCTGATTCCCCCACCCAGGGGCTCTCCCTTAGTCCTCCAAGACGTGGCTCTTATTCAGAAGCTGTCCTGGGACCTGACTAGGAGCATGGATGGCTTTGGGCTTTGCTTGTGGTGCCAGTTGTGAATATCCAACAGAAGGACAACAGAAAGGCCCCACCTTCCAAGGGAGATTTTGGGCTGCCCAGGTTGTTTGTGGGTCATTTCTGATGGCTCTGGAAGGGGTCTGAAGGTGCACGCTCACCACGCCGCACAGCCCCCCTCATTACCCATTATCCACTGCTACTGACCAGCATTCTTCCAGGGTGAGACCTTGGTTTCCTTCTCTTTTTCCCCAGGATATTGCAGCTACTCAGTAAACATTTGCTTTTCCTTGTTTTGAACAAATGTCTGCCCCATGGGCTTGTGGAGAGGATCCAGTGAGCTGTGGGATGGAAATCAACATACAATCTCTACTTCCCACTCCTGAATCAGTACATGTGGAAGAGCCCAGAGGCACCCCTGACCTTTGTCCTCATTTTATGAATGAGGCTCAGATGGTCCTGCCAGTCAGGGCAGAGCTTGTATCTAAACTGTTCTGTTCATTTATTCATGCTTAAACTTGAATTGGCGTCTTTCCGCTGTAAGCTGGTAGAGAGGTATCAATGTCACTGCTATGTCGTCCCTGCCTGAGCCTGGAGCTGGCTTGTGTCTGTCCCTCCATCTGTTTCAGAGCAGAGATGGAGGGGAGACTGCCCTGGACCAGCCCAGAGCCCCCGGCAGCTGGGGTTAGGCCAGAGAGGTGGGTCCCATGTGGACTGGGAGGTTGGAACTGTTCATAGGATTGGAGACGGACTGAGGAGTGGATGCTGGTGGGTGGCCCAGGCCTCTGAGTGAGGGACATGCCTTCTAGGCCTGTGCTGGGCAGTCTTCCGACCTGCTGGGCCTCTGTTTCCCCATCTCTGCATCGGGGATAACAATTCCTGGCCTGTGTCCTTCAAGCAGCAGTGTTGAGGGTCAGACTGGACAGCGGATCCATTCTAAAGACTCTATAAGGACAAACAAAGCTGAGGTGATGGCCGCCCTGCTTGATTCGCGGCACCTCGCTGTCCTGCGGCGAGGTTGCCCTGGTGCTTGCCCGACTCCGCGGATGGATGTTGTGGGTTCCCATAAGAGCCAGTGAGTCCCCCGCTGAGGGTTTTCAGCTCATTTGAATTGGGTCTCTGCCACCCAGAGCCCACACTAGTGCGATGACAGGCCATTCTTCAAAGTGAAATGGCAGCATCTTAGGTGAGTGCCCTTGGCTTGTCCAGCCTTGTTCTCCCCCAGGATTCTCAGGGGTTCCACCCGGCCTTAGCGGATGCCCTTCTACCCCCACAGAATGCTATTGGTGGGGAGTATGAAGTGTTGTGCAGGTTGCTTGCTGAGGGCTGCAAGCGCTTTGACCTTGGTTGGGAAGGTCAGCAACTGGATCAGCCTCTTTCCCACTGGAGTGAAGGAATATGTTACTTGCAGAGGCTGTTGTGCAGGTTGCTTGCTGAGGGCTGCAAGCGCTTTGACCTTGGTTGGGAAGGTCAGCAACTGGATCAGCCTCTTTCCCACTGGAGTGAAGGAATATGTTACTTGCAGAGGCGTCCTGGGCATGTGCCATGGACCCCCGCATTACTCAGACTTCAAGGAGGAATTTAGCTCTGCAGAGGCCCCAGGGGGCTGTCTGGGAGGGAGTTTGGGTGCTGTGGTAAGGTTGGAGGAATGGGCAGAGCCCCTGAAGCCGGCTCTACCCTTACCAGCTCCGTGTCCTTGAGCAAGACAACTAGCCTCTCTGATCCTCAGTTTCTTCATCTGTAAATAGGCCTATGAGAGGAGAGCAGCTCCACTATCAACATCGTAGTGAGAAAATGCTTGAACAGCCCCTCCCAGGGCACCAGGCTTACAGAAAAAGCTCATCAGTGCCACAGATACAGTCCCTCACATTGACATGCTGCTCTGCAATCCTTTAAAAGCTGGTTTGAAACTCACACAAACTCAAGATAGGTTTTTCTAACCATGATGAGGGTACTGAGGCTCAGAGAGGTTTGGTGACTTCACTAAAGTCACACAGCCAGAACACTGCAGAGTTTGAACTTGATCTGTTAAGTCTGGCATCATCCTAAGTACTTGGTGATGTTTGTACCATTAATGGGATTTGTGGTGGCTGGGAGTCTCCAGGCAGAGAAAACTCAAGAGAATATGGGGATATGGGACTTATTTGGGAAACAGTTGGATCTTTATCCATTATATTGAATTATGTGAAACTGCACATATGTGGTCATTTTGAATTAAAAGATGTAAATTTCACATGACTCAGCTTAGTTGTTTCAAATTCATCCCCAGTGGGTGGCTGGACTTGATTACTCAGTTTTCATGGTGAGGCAGTTCTTCCACGGGACAAGCACATTCCAGTAAGGGTTCAGGGAGCTGGCACTCTCCCTGGGGGTGCCCAGCAAAGCTTCCCAACTGCTTCACCCTTCAGCAGGGCAGCCCTGTGGCCCTCAGTGAAAAGGGCTGCTCCTGGGAAGCCTCTAGCTGTGGCACAGGAGCTGTGGTTTTCCTCCAAGGACCGCAGAGAGGGCCATGGGGAAGCAAGACAGGATGGAATCTGGGCCCGTCCCATTCTCCAATGGAGGCGGCTGATGGTCTGCTGTGCTTCCTCTCCTATGACCAGCAAATCATTGTAATGACTTGTCAGAGTCATCTGGGGCACATGAATAGGGAGGAGAAGAGGCCATAGAGTAAGTGTCTCGGGGCAATGGCAGTCCTGGGGGAGCTTGAACACATGATACAGGCCAAGATGCAGAGACCCACTCAGGGAGAAGACCTGCTTCTAGGAGTTGAGACAGGGATGGTGGGGTTAGACAGAGTAGGGTGAGGACCTCCAGAAAGAAAGCAAAGCATGTTAATCCCAGTCAGAGCAATGTAACAGTGTGCAAAGAAACACCTACCAAAACTCCCTGACAAACAATTAAGCAAAGTCATAGTCACATTAATTCTCTAAAGTAAAAATATCAAACTAGGAATATAGATAGGCATTCTTTAGTGAGATTAGTTCAAACTCAAAAGCCAGGAGTAACTTGGCTTGGACTGTTTTGAATATCCCCCAGATAAGAAAATACTTCAGCATAGCCCATGCCTTCATCTTGTCAGTTAAATTATGCTATTGTAAGATTTACTTCAGCCTGCTAAAAGGCCCAGCTTATATTTTTGACTTCACTCAGGTGCTGGATAAAGGTTCCTCCTCCAACCCTAATCAAGTAATTTGCAACCTGGGCAATTAATTTAGCAAGCAAGCCCAGTCATAAACCACATAGTAAAAACAAAACGGATTCCATCTTAAAGATAAGATTGCATTTTAAAACTCAATTAGTAGTAAGTTTCCTAACATACTCTTTAACAAATAGACAATAACTCAGCCCAATTTGGGAGCAGGGCAGGCAATCTTGATTAATATGCTCCCAGAACAAGAAGCTGCTATCCTGGGAAGGAATCAGAGCAGCAAATTTCTTGTGTTAAGCCAACTTTGCAAAACAACTCTGAAGATTGATGAGGAACTTAGTGTCTCTCCAAAGATAAATATTTCGGGACTATTTGGCAGGTCTGCATCCCTAGCCCTTTGTCTCTCAACTGCCTCTAAATCCCCTAGACAATGCACCACCCCAGGCTCCCTTGTCCCCTCCTGGCCTGAGCCAGGAGCTCTGTCCTCTCACTTTATCTCTAAATAAGTCTCTCCCTGGCTCTCCTACCTTGTGTGTTTGCTAAGTCCATTCTTCGACTCTGCAAACAAGAACCCCGGCACCAGAGTGATGTGTTTGAGGGCTCCCAGGGCAGAGATGGAATGACAAGGACAGAGGTATGCATTCCCAGTCCAGTTCCACTGGAAAGGGCTCCAGGAAAAATCACCAGAGTCACTTGCAGGAAAGACCTATGAGATGCTACGAGCCCAAGTGTGGTGCAGATGGCGGCAGGGGCGGGGTAGGGGGAGGGACGAGAAGGAGACCTAGTCTCCTTTCTGCTGGTGGAGATGTGTCAGTTAGGTGCCCCTGCGTGAACAGAAGTCTCTGGGAGCCACAGGGAGGCAGCCTTGAGGTGGGCACTGGCAGCAGTGAGGGTGAAGGGTGCTCATGGGGGCGCAGTGGACACCAGCAGGGCTGGGGTTAGCAGGAGGACCTAGTGGATGTGGGGTGGAGGCAGGGGTCATTGGCTGGTATCTGAACCTGAGCGATTCCCCTCCAGGGATTCCCAGTTGACTGGGAAGCCTGGAGCTTTTTCTAATGACTGGGGAAGAGCCAGAAAGCTGTGGGTTTCCACCACCATTTCATCCTGGCCAAGCACTGTGCCTGGACAGTGTGAATGCCTAATAACCATTAGTACAGGGGGTACATGAAAGATTCCTGTGATTTGGACTCCACAAACATCCTGGGGGGTTAAGGGGAACTCAGAGATGAGAGGACGAGGGACTTGCTTCTCACACTCAGGCCTGGGCCAGGTCCGCCATTCTTTATTGTCATCAAGGGGGAGAGGGCTGCATCCTGAGGCAGTTAATTTTGGGTGGGGTTCACCACTTTTCCCACGAAGAGGGGGCTCTTGGTGATCTCATCAATGATGATTACGAGGTAGGGCCTGCTGAACGCGACACTTGGGGGCATTGACATGGGGATGGCTTCCACGAATGTGGCCCCGGCAGCCTCTGTCCCCTTTTCATCGATGGTCAGCACAGCCTTATGCAGCGCCTGCAGGGGCGAGAGTACATGGGCCTGCACTGAGCCCAGAGAGGCTGCCTGCCCCCCCTGGGCCCAGAGGCCTGGAGCAAGGCCAAGGAGAGAGTGTTACACAGGAAGGGCACCCTGGGCCTCCCTCCTGCCCTGGCCTGCTCTGGCATGTGCACATACCCCCTCCCTGCAGGGGGCGCACAGGCCCCACCCCCTTCCCAAGGCCCTCACCTGACTCCACCAGCTGCCCCTCACTTCCCTTCCCGACCGACCTTCTCAGCCTCCCTGGGAGGCAGCTCACAGCCTCGGGACCCGGGACCTCTTCCTGTACCCTGTCCTCCTTGCCTCATCCCTTGGGTCCGACATCAGATTTTCAGCCCCTCAGGGACCAGGACTTTGATGGGGACTTTCATGGCACCTGGTCCGCAGCCAGGGGCCCGGGTCACAACCAGACACTGAGCTGCAGGTGTTTCTTTGGTCAACCGTAACCTTCCCGAATGAATGGGGTCTTTCGCTGAGATCGCTCATTAACTCGGACTCGGTAATTAGTCAGGAACTCCCAGTGTCACAGATGCAGGGGCCCAAAGTTCTTTGAAATCCCTGAACCTAAGCCTGTCTCTGTAAAATGGGTCCCTCCAGGCCCCAAGAAGGGAAGGCCTTGGCCAAAAATGAGAGAGGGCCAGTGACGTGAGCTCAGAGGAGACCCCTAATGTGCCAGAAGCACACAGCAGACCACGTGCCCGCCTTACTGGGCCCAGTGGCGTTCCTCAGAGGACCGTGCATGAGGGTGTGTTTGCGTCCCTGTGCTCCTTCCCCAGACTCACCTCTGAGCTGAAGCCCACGCTCCACAGGCTGCCCTGCAGACCCAGGGACAGACTCACCTTGGACAGCTTCAGGGGCACCTCCTCAGCGATCCCTGAAAGGTCAGCCTCGTTGCTGAAGACCTTGGTGATGCCCAGTTTGCTCAGAAAGGTTTTCAGATTATAGGTGCCGGAAATGGACAGTTTGGGCAAATGCAAACTGGTGGACCTGTCATGTTGGTTAGAAACAATGGAGTGTCAGCGCTGAGAGTGTTTCCTTTTCTGGTTGTTTCTCCCACCCAGCACCCTGTCTCCTTGCCCACACAAGGACATGAGGTCCCCGCTGGTCTATTCTGTCTTTAGCTCCACGACGTCCTGGGTCAGACAATGTTGGAATCACAGAGATCAATGGTCTTGTGCTGCAAAGTCTCCAAATGCCACCTCCTCTGAGGAGCCCTCCAGGATGCCTCTGGTAAGCGTTTTGGACACTGTCCTGTATAGGGTTTTGTTACACCCAGACTGGGACTTCTCCAGGCCAGAATCCCTGGGAAATAGGAAAGGTGAAGGTGCTGAGAGACATCTGCTCAGTGAAGGATGAGTGACTGCACAGACTGGGACACTCAGCTGCCGTTTTCCATGGGACAAAGTGTGGCCCCAGGAAGGGCCTAACATGAGTTTGCTGCCTGGCACTCAGCTGCCTCTGACCCATTGCAGGTTCAGCATTCTCCTCTCAGCCTCTGATGCCAGAAACGTGGGAGAGAGGTGGAGCGAGAAAGAGGGTTTATGATTTCTCTTTTAATTTTTATTTTATGGTCTTTATATTCATTTATATATATTTGCTATCTATTCTTTTCTATATATATTTATTTTAAATTTTAATCTGATTATATATGTTTATATTGCATATATTTATACATTTGTATTTTGATAATATACATGATCAAATATATCATGCAGGCTCGGGCATATTTATGAATGCAGAGATGTGCACTAATTTGGGGTGCATGCTCAAGTAGTACGTCACTGCAGGGACCCCAATCAAACCCTGCATGTCTGGGGGCCGAGGAGCAGGGACTGTGCTCAAGCATATGCTGGGAGGTCGCACCCTGGGCTCGCTCTCCAGGTCTCCCCCAAGCGGCCTCTGCCCCCGGGCTGGCCATGGACTTTCCATCCTGAAGGCCACACTCAGCTGCCCCTTTGCCAGGAAGCCTGCCTCTCCCTTCTTGGCTCTCCCCCAGGAAGTGCTGGCATTGCTCACCCTGCCCTGGGCTCTGGCCACCTGGAAGGGGCAGTGTCCGTGCTGGGGAAGGACGTCCCCAAGGGCAGGATTGCATCTCCTCACCTGTGGGCACCGCCCCTCTCACAGAGCCTGGCTGGCGGTGTCTGACCCGACCCCGGCCTCTGTCTGGATCCACCTGATCATGCATGGTTGTGTGGCCCGTGGGACGTGGGCCTACCTCCCACCCCCTGGCAGGCCTGATGTGGCAGCCCCAGGGTTAGCCTCTGCTTTGGGAAGTCACCTTGAAAATCTCTTCTCCAGGAATTTCGTAAGAACTTCCTTGGTGAGCACGGCCTCGAGATGCTGCATTTTCCCTGGGTTGGGCAGGATGAAGAAGGCGGTGGCGTTGCCCACGTAGTCCATCAGCAGCACCCAGCTGGAGAGCTTGTCACAGAACTGGATGTCAAACATGCCCAGGCGGGTCATCATGGGCACCTTGACTGTGGTATTGTCATCCACGTGGAAGTCCTCCTGTGTGGTAAGCACAGTCTCAAAGGGCTTCTCCCATTTGCCTGAAGAAAAGGAGGATGGGCATCAGCCAGGTTGGGGAAGGCAAAGATAAATGTGGTTGAGAAAGGAGCCCTGAGCCTCTTTGGTGAGAGATGTCTCTCTGAGCCTCAGCTTTACCTTACCTTCTATAAAATGGGTCTAAAGAACACTCAGTCTATCCAAGGACTTGAGAGGATAATGCCAGAAGAGCAGGATCCAAAATTTCTGTATCACAGGGGTTAAGGATGCCAACTGGCTGTGCAGAGTAAGCATTTGTGCATATATTCTGTGTTTATTTATTGGAGGGTGGCCTGGGAGATTCTAAGTGAAAATTATAGCACCAGTCATACTTGGCATCTCCTCGTCTGAGTCTCCCCACCCCTTGTTAATCGGAGGTTCCCAGCAGTCAAGGAAATCACTCCTGTTCCAACCTCATGGCCTTTCCCTGGACCAACTTGTGAAATGCAGATGCCCGGGTGGCTCCCCCTGCTATACCAAGAGATCATTGCCATCCTCGCAAATCGGAGTGGGAGGGTGCCTCAGAGAGCCCTGAACCCCACTTTTCCCACTGGATGGAGATGGAAACTGAGGTGGGAGAGGGCACGAGACCCACCTGAAGCCCCACAGCAGGGCGGGCACCTAAGACGCTGGCTCAGCCTCAGCCTTCTGCGCTGCCCTGCTGCCTCCAGAGCTAGGAGCCCACGGGGGGAAGGAAGCAGCCCCTGGCCTGGACTCCCCTCCCAACCCAGGCGGTCTCCACGGCCTGTCTAGACCCGTCAGCATGCCTCCCGGGCCTACAGGTTCCTGACATTCTCATACTCAGAGGGGGGAAGGCACGTTTAGTTGAGCACCTACTATGTGAGTGTATAGTCCCGTTCTTTGTTGCCTGTTTAATCCTTACAGAAACCCAACACTAAGGCCATGATGACATCCACGTTACAGGTAGGAGACTAAAACCTCAAAGTGGGAGAATGCCTTGCCCACAGTCAAATGGCTCAGGAACAGCAGAGGGAGGATTGAGGCCTGGTCTTTGTGACTGCAAAATTGTCACTATTTCTACTGTGCTAGAGGTGTTGGAAGTGTGTCCATGAAACCCTGTTCCCTTCATAGACTCTGCTAAAATTTGTTTTTCTGGCTGTCTATTTTGGGAGACATTGTGTATTCTACCTTTCTGTCTGGTAGGGATTTATAGTGCGTATGAGGACATTAAAGGCTCTGAAAAGGCCTGCAGAGATGATGATATGACTGTTTTACCCATCATTCTCTAACCTTATTTGATCATGGAAAGTGTTTGAATGGTGTTGTGGGGAAACTGAATAACATATGCTGGGAGGCACTGCCGTAACTATGCTGCACTGCCATGGAAAATTTAAGAACTGAGTGAGAGCATTTTTGGTTGTTCTTGTGGGGACCAGCTTAGGCTGGTTGTGCAACCTTACCTTTAAAGAAAATGTAATTCACCAGAGCAAAAACTGTGTCTTTGTCAAGCTCTTTGACCAAATCCACAATTTTCCCTTGGGTTCCCTTCTCTACATAATCATTGATCTGTTTCTTGGCCTCTTCTGTGTCCTCAAAGTTGATGGAGAAGGCTTGTGAGTGGTACAGCTGCTTCACATCCTCCAGAAATTTCTGTGTTAGTTTCACAGCCTCGCTGATGAACAGGCCGTTGCCCATGGTCAGCTGGAGCTGGTTGTCTGGCTGGTTGAGGGTCTGGAGCAGTTGCTCGAAACCTTTGTGGATCTCAGGCTCTGCTCTCTCGGTGAGGTTGAAATCTAGGCCGTGCAGGATCTGGGTGTGAGTGTCACCCTTGGTCCCCAGGGAGAGCATTGCAAAGGCTACGGCAATGCTCACTGGGGAGAAGAAGATGTTGCTTGTGTTGGATTCATGGGCCACCTGGCGGTACAGGCTGAAGGCAAAGTCAGCCAGGTTTGGGGCAATCTTGTGGACGGCTTGCTGCTGGTGGTGTTCATGTTCATGGCTGTGTGCGTCTGTCTCCTGGACCATGTCTCCCTGGGGACTGGTCAGGGAGCTGGGGACCAGGCAGCACAGGGCTGCCAGCAGGAGGAGACCCTGTGTGATGGAGGATGGCATGTCCTGCAAGAGAGGGAAGGGGCACCACGCCCAAGTCAGGCCACATGACGAATCCTTCTGCCACTCAGTGGCACCACGGAAAGCAACCAGAGTTCACTAATTCTGCATCGTGTGCCAGCCTGTGCCAAGCGCTTTCCTGCATCCTTGCCGCTCTAAGACTCAGAACAACAGCAAAGGCTTTACAGTGCTTACCACGTGCCAGGCCCCATTCTAAGCACTTTCCTGTCTCATCTCACAGCCCTCCTGTAATGGGTATATGGGGTCAGTCATGTGACACTTCTCCATTTACAGGTGAGGAGACCAGGGCCAGAGTGGCATAAGTCACCTGTCCAAGGCCACAGAGCAAGAGAGTAGCAGGACCAGAATCACAACCCCAGGCAGCCTGGGTCTGGAGCCCCTGCTCTCCATGGCTCCCCTAACATCTGCAAGGACCCCATCTTACAGAAGGGGACACTGAGGCACAATGCACATGAGAGCCTTGTCACGATCATCCAGGAAGCATGCCAGATGGGGCTCAGGGATGACGGGGTGGAGAGCCCTAGGAGGACTCCCACTGAGCCCTGTTATTTAATGGACAGAGAAGCTGCTGCCCAGGTGGGGGACGATCTTGCCCCGTGGCACACAGCCAGACACAGCGGAGCGGTGAGGACACCCACCTGCTGGTTCCCGCCCAGACCCAACCTGATGCCTCACACTTCATCCTCCCTTTTCTTGTTCCAAGGCCACACAGCAGGTCGGGGACGAGGCTGGAACAAGCCTTGGTTTCCCGCCCACTTGATCTGCAGACTGAGACAGCCATGTCCTTGGGTCTCGCACTCTATGAATGTCAGAATGGGGCCCTGAGGCGCGTGTATGGGTTTTGAGCCTCCTGTTCAGCTACATTTTGCCTCTTGATTTGTTCCTCACGACTTAGGGGGCCAAAACTTCTGCTCTTTCCATGCCTTCTTATTAAAGACAGCACCCCACACCCCCAAAGCCTAATGCTGGGGAAGCCAACCAGGGATGAAAAAGCAGGCAGGGAAGCCCCAGTGTACGGACCAGGTGTTAAACCGCAAGGATGAAGAAGTCACTGTGCCCTTCCCAGCGTCTGGGGCAGGTGGCAGCCATCTTTGCCAGGTAGGGGAAGGGTGCAGCATGCTATCCTATCGCCTAACCCCATACTCTTTCCAGCCGGGAGCATAAACTGAGTGACTGAAAACAACCAGTGGGGTATAGGGAAGCAACTGGCACATAAGGTCACAACCTGCTGAAACCTGGCGGTAGATAAGCCCAGGTATGATCTAGCCCTGTCATTTACGGACAAGTGGCCTTGAGCAAGTGACTTCACTTCTTTGAGCCTCCACTTCCTGTCTGCCAAGTGGAGAAAATCTCTTGGGGCAGATGCGAGAAATGGAGAAGGTGATGGGGTGGAAGCCCACCCCACACCTGCACACAGGTAGGGTTCATGCTGATGACTGGATTTCTTCCTCACCAGCTGCCACATTATCCAGGACCAGAGACTGGGCTCCTGCTTAGCCATGAAGTGCCTCTGAGTTTGGAAAATTTTAAATTAAATTCTCCAAGTATTCACTTTTTTTTGCCTACTAACTGCCAAACCCCTTGCCTAGCAGACATCAGCCTCATCGTCACCATCATCCCACTCAGTAAACCTCAGACGTTTCATATGCACTGTCTCATTAACCTTCCCTGAAAGCTTACCATATGAAGTGGGAATTATTAGTGGCACAGTTTGTAAATGTAGATATTGAGGCCTACAGGTCTTATGTAACACAGACCTAGTTGCTTACAGAACTGGGATTTGATCCTAGGCACTCTGATTCCAGAACTTGGCATTTATCCCTTCTCCGTGTGTAAAGCTGAAGCCAGAGCCTTTGAAACAAAACCTCAGAGGTGACCTGGCTGAAAAGAGGGGTAGCATCCCTTTGTGGCTAAGATCAGAGGTTACAGGGCCACGATGCCCAAGTTCAATTTGCTCTCCTCTGTGTGACCTTGGACAAATTACTTAACCTCTCTGAACTCCCATTTCCTCGATATAATAAAGGTGCCCTGCCTCATAGGGCTACTGTGGAAAGTGCCAGGAAATGCCTGGCGCACCACCAGCTGTCAGGAAGCATCAGTTGTACTGGTGCTGTCGTGGCTCATGGAAAGCGCTGTGTGGGGTCTGGCTGCCTTGGACATGGTCACTTTTGTAGCCCTCAACTCCAAAATCTGATGACAGAAAAATCATATCCTTCCAATGCTCTGGAGATCAAGGCTGGGGGAGGTGGGGTGAGGGGACAGAAGGCCAAGATTATCTACATTTTTCCCAAGTGGACAGAGAAGTTGAACAATCATCAGCGGCCACCCAGCATCAGAGAGCCTCTAGGCCAGTCCAGGCCTCCTGTTCCCCAGCAGGTGCCTGAGACCCAAGAGAATTATGCTGGCAGTAATTCAGAAGTGTGGGTTCTGAGCTAGGCAGCTGAGTTTGAATCCTGCATGGTGTGTAATTTGGGGCAAGTTATGAGCCTCTCTGTCCCCAGTTCCTTCATCCATAAAATGGAAATTAGCATGGGAACCACCTTGGAAGGCTGCTGTGAGGCTTAGACGTGTGACTGCATGTGAAGAGCTTAGCTCCACCTGGCTGGGGGGAGGGCTCAGGAACACAGCTCCAGGCCCCGGTGATGGTGCCCCTCCCAGGACTTCCCATCTTCCGCCGTGCCCAAGGGTGCCCGAGGGTACCCAGAGGCTGCCCAGAGGCCCAGTGTGCACAGGGAGACACCTGTTGCTACTTCCAGGCTGAGACCTGGTTTGGTTCTTGTTGAGAATGGAGGCCTGGTGGGCATCTGGAGCTCAGAGCTTCTGGTCTGGCCTGGCATACCTACTAGGTCCCTGAGCTCCTCACTGTTCCTCTCTGGGCCTTATCTTTCTCATCTGTAGAAGGGGAAAAAGATATGCATCCAAGTAGTATGGGAGGTGGTGAGGTTTGCACGATTAACTGACAGGAAACACATAGGAGTTGTGCCAACAGAAACATGCGCCTGGGGTCCCAGGACACCAGAGCCAGATACCCACTTCCACTTGTGCCTACAGAGCACCAGTTTATTCACCAGTAGATCCCGTGGAGGCCTGGCAGGCTAGGGGTGTAAAGCTGAAGCCAGAGCCTTTGAAACAAAACCTCAGAGGTGACCTGGCTGAAAAGAGGGGTAGCATCCCTTTGTGGCTAAGATCAGAGGTTACAGGGCCACAATGCCCAAGTTCAATTTGCTCTCCTCTGTGTGACCTTGGACAAATTACTTAACCTCTCTGAACTCCCATTTCCTCGATATAATAAAGGTGCCCTGCCTCATAGGGCTACTGTGGAAAGTGCCAGGAAATGCCTGGCGCACCACCAGCTGTCAGGAAGCATCAGTTGTACTGGTGCTGTCGTGGCTCATGGAAAGCGCTGTGTGGGGTCTGGCTGCCTTGGACATGGTCACTTTTGTAGCCCTCAACTCCAAAATCTGATGACAGAAAAATCATATCCTTCCAATGCTCTGGAGATCAAGGCTGGGGGAGGTGGGGTGAGGGGACAGAAGGCCAAGATTATCTACATTTTTCCCAAGTGGACAGAGAAGTTGAACAATCATCAGCGGCCACCCAGCATCAGAGAGCCTCTAGGCCAGTCCAGGCCTCCTGTTCCCCAGCAGGTGCCTGAGACCCAAGAGAATTATGCTGGCAGTAATTCAGAAGTGTGGGTTCTGAGCTAGGCAGCTGAGTTTGAATCCTGCATGGTGTGTAATTTGGGGCAAGTTATGAGCCTCTCTGTCCCCAGTTCCTTCATCCATAAAATGGAAATTAGCATGGGAACCACCTTGGAAGGCTGCTGTGAGGCTTAGACGTGTGACTGCATGTGAAGAGCTTAGCTCCACCTGGCTGGGGGGAGGGCTCAGGAACACAGCTCCAGGCCCCGGTGATGGTGCCCCTCCCAGGACTTCCCATCTTCCGCCGTGCCCAAGGGTGCCCGAGGGTACCCAGAGGCTGCCCAGAGGCCCAGTGTGCACAGGGAGACACCTGTTGCTACTTCCAGGCTGAGACCTGGTTTGGTTCTTGTTGAGAATGGAGGCCTGGTGGGCATCTGGAGCTCAGAGCTTCTGGTCTGGCCTGGCATACCTACTAGGTCCCTGAGCTCCTCACTGTTCCTCTCTGGGCCTTATCTTTCTCATCTGTAGAAGGGGAAAAAGATATGCATCCAAGTAGTATGGGAGGTGGTGAGGTTTGCACGATTAACTGACAGGAAACACATAGGAGTTGTGCCAACAGAAACATGCGCCTGGGGTCCCAGGACACCAGAGCCAGATACCCACTTCCACTTGTGCCTACAGAGCACCAGTTTATTCACCAGTAGATCCCGTGGAGGCCTGGCAGGCTAGGGGAGCAGGAAAGGCCCTCCAAGGCTGCTGTTACCATGACGACACGGGGTCCAACCCCAGCCCGCTCTCTCCTCCCTGCATCCCTGGGGCCTGTGCAGACAGCGCAGGGACCTGGAGGCATCTGTGGAGAAGCTCACCAGGGGAAGGCATACTCACGATCTTAATGGTTCACTGTCCTAAAGGCCAGGGTGGTGACCAAGGCTGAGGAGACAGAGCCCTGTCCTTGTCTGTATTTAAGCAGTGGATCCAGAGGGATGATGGGAAGGCTACCAGTGAATATTAACCAAGGTCACCCAGTTATCAGAGGAGCAAACAGGGACTAAGTCCATTGGCCGGAGACTGAGCCACCCGCCCATGTTGCCCGGATGTGGTCTGCCTGGGCAGCACATGGTGGTGGAGGTAGCAGGTCCGGGACAGGCAGGGAACAGGGACAGTTCCATGTGCCAAGGGGAGTCATGGTACCCAGCTCATAAACCACAGCATCCAAGGCGGGGTGGCATGACTCAGGCATTCTCTGCAGCAGCATTTCTCTGCTGGCTACACTCCTGCTGGGGAATTCTCGGTGGCTGCCCCACCGGTAGCAAGAGCTCCCCTTTACTGAGCCACCTTGAAGTGCTCAGAACCACTGGAGATGCACTGCTGCCCTGGGGGCGTGGGTAGGAGTAGGTTATGAGCCCATTTGGGAGTTGGGGAAACTGAGGCCCACAGTGGAGAGGCTGCTCATCCAAAGTCACACCAAGTATCACCAAGCCTCAGATCCAAACCCCTCTGGACTTCTCCAGGGAGAGAATGGGCTGTGACCGATGCTGACACAGTCACTTTAGGCTGGCATGGGTGGCTATGGGCACAAGCCGGGTGTCTGAAAGTAAACCTGTAAAGAAGAGCTGTGCCTCCCCAGGCCAGCTGCTTCACCTCTCTGAACCAGAAGGTGTTTCTATCTGCCTCGTAGGGGCTGGGTGGCCCCGTGTCCTAGCATGGCCATCAGGGACACACACAGTGACCTATGCGAGGCGCCTGGCACATGGGAGGCCTTTGTTTGGTCTGCACAGTCCCCTGCCCATCCCTGCTCTCTGTGCTTCTCTGGGCAGGAAGAAGCTCAATTCCTGGCCAGCCTGAGGCCTATTTCTGTTTCCATTGGATGTGGCTTCTAGCAGACTAATGCGGTCCACACACTGCTCAAATTTTCCTGGGGAAGGTGGCCCTGTGCTGGGACTGTTGGCAGGCACTGGGGTGGGTGGGGCTGAGGCAGTAGGTGCCATTTGCCCACAATCCCCTTAGGCAGCTCCGGCCGACTGCAGCGCCCTCTGTGCCCCGCCGTGCCTGCCGCACAGCGTGCTGCCCTTGGTGCTCGCTGCGGAGCACACGAGGATGCTTTGTCTTCTCTTGCTCCCCAGGCCCAGCTGTGGGGCTCAGGCCCAGGAACCCAGTTCCCCTGGTCATGGTTGTGAGATGGAAGGTAAGCTGTTTAACCTCCCTGTACCTCAGTTTCCCTGTCTGTAGAATGGTCAGCTCCAAGCCCAGGATCGAGCGCACACAGTAAACCCTTTGATTCATCTCCCCCCCCACCCCCTGACCCCCACCAGTGGGTCTACCTGGTGTCATGCGGGGTGGGTGAGGGCCCTTTCCCCCAGGCTTCTTTCATTCAATAGTGCAGTAACTTGTGAGGGGAGTAGGTACCACCCCCATGCAGGAGCACAAAGGAGCTCAGAGAGGGGCGGATCTCTTCTCCCATCCCTCTCAACTTTCCCCCAAGCTGGGTGAATGGGCATCTGTCCCAGGCCTCTATATCCACTCACAGCTTGGTGTGGTTCAGGTGAGGACTCCTTCCATACATCCTGGGCATTTCTGCGCCTCCCTATGTCTCACTTTCCCCATCTGTGCAATGGCTTCCCACCAAGCCCAGCTGCCCATCCCACCTCTCTCACTGGATGGACAACAGCAAGGGCCCCACCTTCCAGGCCACTGCCAAGCTCCCTGCCCCCTGCCCCCTCTACCTGCGATTCCTGGAGCTGTGGCGGCAGCCGCTCCCTCCGCAGCAGCCCCACCCCCTCCTCCTCCTCCTCCTCTGCGGCTTGGAGCTCTCAGGGCTGCTGCAGGCCTTGGGTGTTTTGATCGTAGAACCAGTTTCAGCTCACCAGCCCAGGAGGAAGGAGACTTGTGGTGGAGGGAGCAGGTCCGGGAGGGGCAGGAAACAGGGACAGGAAGCCACCTTGCACAAAGCTGCTGCAGGAAGCCGGGTGCGTCTTCCAGGCCCAGGCAGTCCTGCGTGTCAGCTCCTATTCCTACGCGTCCAGTGGCGTGACCCAGGAAGAGTCACCCACTTCCTCTAAGCCTCTGTAGGAGGGGCAGTCCCACTAGGCTCAGAGGATTAATGGAGAGGACAGGTGTCACTTTTCTGGCCCAGGACCTAACACCTGCATCTTGGCAGATTTCCAGGGCCAGCTGTAGAAGGAAGAGGACTGAGCCGCCCTGCACATGCTCCATGGGAGCCCCACAGAAGCCGGAAGGGTCTGTGTGTGCGCGGGTGTGTGTTCCAGACCCCAGCCGGGTGCAGAAGGGATGCAGGACAGAGCAGGGGCCTGGGGCATTTAGAGGAGGAATGAAGGCAGAGCATGGTGGGCAGGTGGGGCTCAGGGCTGGGGTCCCATCCCTTTTGACTTAAGGACTCCATCCATCCTAATCTTCCCTTGCTCCCCATTCCCCGAGTATTTCATGCTGCAGAGAGACCCTCTAGACACCTGTCCTGGGAAGAAGAGGGGGTGATCTGGCAAAATGAGCAAGGACAGAAGGACTGTGCACTGTGTCCCAGGAACCACAAGCCACGGTATGGAAAGTCTTGTCCACTTGGTTGCACTTGGGCCAAAAGAAGCCCCTGAAGTGATTTCTTTTCTCCTTTCAGCCATACTTGGAAGCACATGCTTGCTTTCGAGCAATGACGCCATTTCTCAAACCAATTCTGCTTTTCTCCTGCCCAAAGACATGGGGTCAGGGGCCCTCTCTGGGACAGGAAGAGAGAAGGGGTTGGCAAAGGGCCCCCCACAGGGAGGACTGGGTGTGTGGGACTTGCCTCAGCTGTGAGGACTGTGGGGCCACGGGAGACCCTGATGGACTTTGGGACTTGTTTTGCAGATTTGCAAGCCCTGCGTGGGTGGCTCCGATAACAGAGAGCAAGAGCGCTCTTTGAACTTGCCCGATCCAGACCTTGGGTTGAAATGGTTCGATTTACCTTGTATTTTTCATGTTGACTTTGGGCATTTCTGTATGCTTGGTTTTAATGAGTCTCTTGTGCTATCACTGTTTGCAATACAAAACCTCCAGACTGACTCCAATGTGTGGCTTGTCACCACCTGTCATAGTAGCCGGTACTTCTCAAACATTTGTATCCTTCAGGCTCTGTTTTAATCCCATGGGGGGGATTAAATTAATATTTAATATTAATATTAATATTCCCTTAGTACAGATGAGGAAAATGAGGCTCAGAGATTTCCCCTGATGCAGCCAGCCTGCCTCCCTCCCCCACTTCTCCTTCCCATCCCTGACCTGTAATCAATAGCTTATGGGGTCATCTTCCTTAGTTTCCCTGTCTGTTCATATATCTGTTCATTTGTTCACTCACTCACTAACCATCCTGTGTTGATCGCTTTTGGCTCAGAGTTTACAGAGGTGAAGTGATGCGGTCCCCACTGCCCAGAAACTCACACCCTGGTGGGGTCCCAGCCTGGGGACCACAGAGGCCCCTTCAGAGGGAGGATATGGCAGAGGGATGGAGAGGTGGGTGGGCTCCAGAGATAAGCAGGTGGCAGGAGCTGCAGGTGAGGGCCATGTTGGTGAAAGTGCCAAGGAGGCATGGGGCTGTCCCCAAGGCCCCCTGGACGCTGGCCTGGACCCACATCTCTGGACTTTCTGTTCAGTACGCCTGTCAACCCTCCAACCTCCCTAGACAGAGTTCACCTCATCCCCTTGGATGGGAAGGAGCAAAGACTCTAAAGCCAGGTCCATAGCCAGCTGGCAGGGCCCTGCAGACAGGGGACTTCACTGCATCTTTCCTATCTGCTTCTCTGTTCCATCCTATCTCAGAGCCAGGGCCCAGACCCCGTCACCTCTCCCAGGAACCCCTCCTTCTCCAGTGTACTCATCAGAGAGCTGAGAACTTCCCCGGGGACCTCACTTCTCCTAAAGTCCTCTCTAGTGGGGGTTGTTTATTCCAACGCCCCTGGCCCCAGGGGCCGTAAGAAAGTCCAACTGTCCTGGCCTCACCCTGCCTCCAAAGCCCTCTAGAATCATGTAATCCCTTCCCTGGACATTCCCACCTTCCCCATACCTTGGACTTTGATGTCAGGTCTGACATCTCTGTTGTCAACTCTTTATCTGCAGCCCCCCTTCTGTCCTTGACCCTCATGGGACCCTCATGTGGAGATGGTGGAGTGTGACCGGCTTAAACTCATGGCCCATCACTCTAGCCACTCTCCTGTCAATACTGTGGTGGGTGCAGAGTAACCTCCCCAGAGATGTCCCTGTCCTAATCCCCAGGCCCTAAGAATGTGGCACTTACATGGCAAAAGGGACATGGCAGATGTGATTAAGGTTAAGGATCTTGAGATGGGAGATGATTCTGGATTATCTGAGTGAGCCCAGCGTCATCACAGGGGTTGTTACAAAGAGAGGCAGGAGGGTTAGAGCTCGAGAAGGAGATGTGACAACAGAAGCAGAGGCGGGTGACGCGAAGTGGGGGCTGTGAGCCCAGAGAAGCTGATGGCCTCTAGAAGCGGGAGGAAGCCAGGAAAGGGGTTCCCTGGGAGAGCCTCCAGAGGGAACACAGCCCTGCTTGCACCTTGGTTGTAGGTATCTGGCCTCCAGTACCACAGAGTAACGGGTCTGTGTCACTCTCAGCAACTAGGCTGCGGCTGTCACAGCAGCGGTAGGAGACGAATCCAGCCTTCAACTCTCTTTGATTTTTCTTTGTGTCTGCCCGGCTCTCCGTCAATCTAGCTACTCCCTGTCCCCAACCTTCCCTGGGCCACTTCTGGAGAAAACCAGCTGGAGCCTCACCCTGGCTTCCTGTTGCCACTGAGATAAAGTCCCAGCTTTTTCGCACAGCATCCAAGGTCTTCTGCAGCCTGGCCCCTTCTTCTGGGCTGATCTCAGCCCCCCCCCACCCCCCACTACACTCCTCACTGCAGGGGTCAGCAAACTATGGCCCACAGGCGCACCGGCCTGCTGCCTGACTCTGAATGGCCAGCAAGCCAAGAATGTTTTCTACACTTTTAAATGACTGAGAAAGAAGTCCAAAGAAGCGTAGAATTTTGTAACACAGACCATTACAAGTGATTCTGTTTTCAGAATCCACATACGATGTTTCGTGGGAACACAGCCATGCCACTTGTTTATTATCTGTATCTGCTTTAGTGCTGTAGCGGCAGAGCTGGGCCACTGGGGAAGGCCACATGGCCTCAGACCCTAGAGTAATTCCTCTCTGGCCCTTCCAGAACAAATTGCTGGTCCCTGCCGGAGACTATAGTCCCATTCACCAGCGCCGTTTGTCCCCCGTGGCATCGCACCTGGGGCTGCCAGCCTTCCTGTTGCAGAAGCTGCCCCCTGTCCTGGGAGGGAAGCACCTGGGAAGGGACTCTGCGACCCTACGTGTCTGTCCAGGATAAACGCACCAAGAAGCCTTCCTGATCCCCACCCTGGCCATGCCTGGTTACGTGCCCCTCCTTGCTGCTCTCAGCAGTCTATGTACAGCCCTCTGTAGTGTTTGTTACAGCAGCTGACAGCTATTGAGCCAAACACAGCATTTTAAAGACATGAACTCTTCTTATCCTCACAATATGCCTAATGAGGTGGGTGCTTTTGTTACTCCCATTTTACAGATGAGGAAGCTGAGGCTATAGGAGTCGAGCAACCACTCCTGGGTCACAGAGCTGGTGAGCAGTGCAGGGAAGATTTGAACCATGAGGCGTGACTTGCCAGGGAGTAAATGTGAAAACCTTTAGAGTGCTAAATATTTGTGTGGGACTGGCAACCCCTTAGATTACAAAACAGTTGTTGCGTCTATTTGAGCTGGAGGCCATCCTCTGAGGAAACCCCTTCCTGGGCCCCCTGGGAAGGGAGACTGAGGGAAGGACAGCAGAACTTCCTGCTTGCCAAGCCTGGCTGCCCACTGATCCCAAAGCTGCCCCCCAGCCCTGCCTCCTCTGTCTGCTCTTTGAGAAAGAGGGGACACTCATGGCAGGACTGCAGAGGCACTGCTGAGCCAGGATGTTGAAACACCGCCGAGGGAGGGAATGGGGTCTCATCCCACCTGCTGTCTCTGTTCCTGTCCATGTCCCCTCCAGCCGTTCCCCTGGGCTCAGCCTGGTGGGTGCAGGGACCTCCCTCCTTGGCGAGCTGACCCTGCTGGCTGCCCACAGCTGTTCACTGCACACTTCCAGCAAAGGCCAGCCATCCTCTGCATGACCCCTGGGTGCCAGGCCCTCTGTGCGTGAACTCCCATCTTCCCAGCAGTTTCACAGTGAAGTTTTATTACATCCAGTTTGCAGGTGAAGCTCAGGGAGAATGAATAGGGTGACTGAAACCTCTCTTAAACCCTCCTCTCCCTCCACCTCACCACTGCCGCCACCCTGACATGTGCTGTCATCACTGCCCTGCCTTTTCTTTCTATATGTGTATTTTTCTGAGGTGTTATTTGCATGTAGCAAAACCATAAATCCTAAATGCACAGCTTGATTTTTAAATTTGTGTACATCTGTGTAACTGCCACTCTGATCAGGAGATCACACGGGTCAACCCCGGAAGTTTCTTCCCGCCAATCTTCCAATCTCCCCCTGGAGGTAACTTATGTTGGGACGGCGTGTCTCCATAGATTAGTTATGCCCTGCAGGGCATGTGAAAAGGAGAATACACTATGTACTTTCTTCACGTCTGGCTTCTTTTGTTCAATATCACATTTCTGACATTTATTTAAGTTGACGCCTGTATCGGTAATTTGCTGAAGTTTCTTGCTGAGTACAATTCCATCATATGGCTGGGTCCCAGTTAGAGTATCTATTGAGAGATGTCTGGGTCATTTTCAGTTTGACTGTTAGGAATAAAGTTCCCATGAGCTTTTGTGTACAAGTCTTGTGTGTGAACGTTTTCATTTCTCTTGGGTACAATGGCTAGTTAAAGGCTAGTAGTATTAAACTTTAGAAGGATCTGCTGTCTCTCCTCTGTACTGTCCCTTCCTGATGTCTATGAAGTCTTCCACAACTGGAGCGGACAAGCAGTTCAAATCCTAAATCTGCCTGTAAGTGCTGAGAACCTGGAGCCAGTCATTCCAGCTGCTTTGTGGAATGGAGATGATAATCTTGACATCTTGGGCTCCCAGGGGTATTATGTGAGATATAATCATGAAAGCCCTGGTTCACTACACTCTGTTTCCTGTTTCTTTCACCCTCAGGGCTATGTGATGTTTATTTCAATGGCTGGCAAATATAAATTAAATAATTGAGTGAACAGACTGGGAACAAAAAACAAAATTGCCCCAGGCATTTAGTGAGAAATCAATGATTTCCATTGCACAGAAGCAGGCTTTCAGGGGCTCATAGCCACCTTTTCACTTTGCGGGATGTTGGGCAAGTAAGGCAAACAGAGTTCCGTCAATACTGCCTTCTGTGAAGAGGGTCTGTGCAGAGCAAACAAGAGGTGTGCGTCGTCAGGACTTGCTCTGCCATTTCCCTCCACCTCTGGCCTCCACTGGGTTGGAAGGGAAGCAGGTGGTTCTGGTAAGCAGCCTGGCTCAGGCACTGGAACCTGGGGATGGAATCATAGGTTCATGGTCCACACACACAGATGCCCACTCGGAGACACTGGGGCTCCCCTTTCTTGTATGCAAACCCCTGGAAAAAATGATGGTCCTGATACTTCCTGGAACAGTGTGGACTTTGGCAAGAACTTGAGATTTGGATAGTCAGAGTTGGCCTCCGTTCACTGTGGGCAAGTTACTTAACCCCTCATGGTTTCACTGTCCTTATCTGTAAATGAAGATTATGGTTCCAAGGTCTTAGGGTAAAATTAGTGAATATATGTAAAGGACCCACATATAGCCAACACACAGTAAATGCTGATTCCCCCTCTCTTCCTCTTTACTTCTTTCTTGGTCTTTTGGTTTGGTTGAACATGAAGAAGTAAGAGAACAATGCCATTCACAAGACACTGTATAGGTTAAGAGCCACCA